CAGTCACCCTCACTGTCCTGGGTCCTGTGTCACCATCAGTGCCCCCTCCAGCCCTGCAGCACAGGACAGGTCTGGCTCACACATGGACATGGGCCCAAGGGGGGACATTTGGGGATATGGGATGTAGGTACAGGCCATTCCTGACCTGTCCCTAGGGGTCATAAAGGGGTCTGTGGGGCACAAGTCCCACAGGGGATCTCTGATAATGCAAGGTGGAGTCTCCAAGGGAATGACTTCCAGACAGGGCAATGTGTGCAGAGGCTGTGGAATCCCAACATTCCCAAAGCAGGTGAGGAGCCATCGCCCATGACACCGGTGTGTTATACCCCACCCCCTCCTGCCTGGCTGCTCAGTTCATCCCAGCAGTCCTGCAGGCAGGCTGGGTGCTCCTGGGAGCCCTGGGGAGCTCTTCCATCCTTTGTGGTGCTAAAACTCCCCTGGTGTTTCGGTGGAGCCTGGCAGTGGCACACGGGTGCTCTGCTCACCTGCCCTGAGGTGTTTCTGCAGAGCTCAGGGACACGGGAACAGCCCTTTCATGGCATTAACAAAAAACCCAAAACAGCCACCCAAAGTGACAGAGCTGTCCCCAGAGAGCATCCAATGGCAGCACAGAGTCTGATTTATACAAAGCTTGTCTGTCCTTGGAGCCTGCCAGAGCTCCAGGAGCATTTGGATAATGCTCAGGGACATGCTGGGATTGCTGGGGTGTCCTGTTGAGGGACAGGAGATGGACTTGGGGATCCTTGTGGGTCCCTTCCAACACAGCCTGTCCAATTATTCTATTGTTCAATTATTCAATCATTCTGAAGTTCAATTATTCAATTATTCTGTTATTCTATTAGTCTATTATTTAATTATTCTATTATTCTATGATTCAGTTATTTTCTGATTAATAGTGCTGGTGAGGAAATCTGGGAATCTCGATGCCCCAGGTATGAGTCAGGAACTTCAAATGGTGTGAAAAGGGCTCTGGCCCCAGTTTAACTACTGAGGTGCTGGAACGATAAAGAGGGCACAGCCAGCAGCTCAGGTGTCCCCGTGCTAAGGCCTGGCCCACTGCAGACCCTTGGGAAGACTCTGGGAGAATTGTGAGCCTCCAAAGCCCAGAGAGGGGGCAGGGACTGAGCTTTTCTGCAGCTGCAGGAGCAGCTCCTGCCTTTAGTCCCTTCAAAGCCCAGCTCTGAGCCTGCCAGGCACACACAGCACATCCCATCTCGAGGGACTTCCAGGGAAGGGAACATTGCCCTCACCTTCCCAAGGGGGGAATTACTGCACAACCTCTGCACAGAGCAAGCCCAGGCTTTAATCCAAAGCCATTTCCAGGGCAGTTTAGGCCATGCTTTAATCCCAGAGCCATCCTCCTCCTCTGCAAGAAGCCAAGAGGTCTGGGAGGGAACCATTCCCTGCAGGGTAAGAACAGTGACATGCACAAATCCCACCCTCCGAGCTCAGCTGACAAGAATTCCAAGCAGGATACTAAACAAATTTGTCTCTTAACCTGAACTGGGGGGGGGGGAGAAGTGCCTGAAATTCAGTTATCATGGCCAGGAGATAAATGCTCCACCGAGATATTCCAAGGCAGATGGTAATTTTTTCCTCATGTCTGACGAAGGGAATGTTGCTTGAAAATGGAAATAAGATGTATAACTTACACATGTTTGAATTTAGGGGTTTACTATTTCGCCTACTGTTTTTCCAGGCAGGGAACCAAAATCCGCCTTCACAGAGGCAACTGCTGAAGGCTCAATGTCCCCAAGGCAGCTGGGGACAGGCTGAGGAGCTGCAGGGACATGGGGATGTCACAGGGAATGCAGCAGGGATGATTCCCTGTGGGAATGCTCCTGCCAGGTGTGCAAGGTGCCTGTGCTGGCAGGAAATGGCCCTGGGGCAGCAGCGAGGAGCTGAGTCCTGCTGGGCATGGCTGGGCTGGGGAGTGACAGGGGACAGCCGAGATCTGGGTGTGACAGAGAGATCCAGGTGTGACAGTGATCCAGGTGTGACAGCCATCCAGGTGTGACAGAGTGATCCAGGTGTGACACCATGATCCAGGTGTGACAGTGATCCAGGTGTGGCACCATGATCCAGGTGTGAGGCTGTGCTCAGGGATGTGACGCTGTTCTCCAGGATGTCAAATCCTCCCCCAGGGTTTCAGACTGTGCTCCAGGGTGTCACACGATGTCCCAGGGTGTGTCACTGTGCTCCAGGGTCTCACATTGTACTCCAGGCTGTCACACTGTGCTCCAGGGTTTCAGACTGTGCTCCAAGCTGTCACATTGTACTCCAGGCTATCGCACTCTGCTCCAGGTGTGACACTGTGCTCCAGGGTGTCACACGATGTCCCAGGGTGTGACACTGTGCTCCAGGATTTCAGACTGTGCTCCAGGGTGTCACACGATGTCCCAGGGT